GCGATAAGGATAAGTGTTGTCTGATAATCTTTAGGTGATAGATGAGGAGTAAATGGACTTTAAAAACCGCATGGCTGATAGTCTTAGGATGTCTTTAAGTAACTTTATCGTTGCCAACAACCATTTACATTGACATACAACTGTAAATGATCGTTACATTTACCGAGGCATTAGCTTCCACTGGGGGTCCTCAATAAATGTAATAGATTTGATAGTGTTGCTATTAGTTTAAAATTCAAGGGCCTCTGTAATTCAGCCAGGAGGAACCTAGTTGGTAGGCGATGCGCTGCTCGGTGAGACTATAACTTTAGAATATTGGTCACAAATCAGAATATTTGGAGACTTCGTCGTCAGATCATAAGCCCAATGTTTAACATCACCCTCCCCTTTTAATATTATTTACACCAACAGTGTACTAAACACGTTGCTTGTATCTACACAAATAGCAGGGAGTTAAATGATCTATTGTGAAACATTAACTCTTTTTCCAGGCAGTTTGTGACCAAATGTCCCTTTCCCTGCACCAAACCGGAGGAGGAACCGGGTGTTTGAGTCACCAATAATCAATGTTGCATTGAGAGTTGCTGGTGCTAACATAACGGAACGCTTATATTGCATTTATGTCCCTCTTTCTCAGTGCTATTATCTATTATGTGGTACCAGAGGAAACTGGGACTGCTTGCTCATGATATAATGACTGCGTCCCTCTATCGCTCTAATGACTTCCTCATTTGCTTGAGACCTTTCATTGAGAACTTAACCGAGCACTGGCTTCCTAAGGTTACTGTGAAAATCGAACTGTCATGCACAAGCGAGTTCTCGTTGTCTACGAGTGTTTGGGGTGAAAGCTGATTCATCATTGCTAACCGGTTGATCAAGCATCGTTTAATATAACTGTACAGGGCAATGCCTTCGTTATTCTTGAGGGCATGTTCAACAAGAACATCGGGAGGTCTTCTGATTTGGGCTCATTTGCGCCTTTTGCCCAAGGGTAATCATATGCCTTCTCCAAGCTTATAACTCCATGCCCAGTGGGAGTTGTGTCTATAGACTTGTCAGTGTGTCAGTCTATAGATTCTTATTATTAATTTCGATAAAGCTTTGATATTTCACATTCTTCTTACGTTAATCATTTATTATACATCTATATAATCTTCTCTCTTCCGGCTCGGGAGGACCGGCTCTGACGGAGACACCACCCCGATCGGTTCACGCCACAGTGTGCACGGTGAGCCCAATTTCTGCCAAAAAGTCAGTTTATTTCTTCAACCAGCCTATTTTCAATTTAAATCCACCCTATCCCACCCTAAAATTGCATGAGAAATAGTTGTTTTTTTATAAGGGGTTTCAAGATGCTTTTGACGGGATTTTGGACCTCATATATTGATTTAACTTGATTTTTTTTTTTGTGTAAAATTACATTTTTTTGCCGTTTTTGTGCCACTATTTTTGAACAAAGTACAGACGGCTACCCCCCCCCCCCCCCCCTTTTTATAACAATGGTTAACAAACAGAAAAAACTGCCAACGCAAGATTCACCGCTCCCACCAAGAAGAAGCTCAGCCTGAATAGCCCAAAGTTCAAAGGGGGGGGGGGGGGGGACCGCCTGAAGCCTGAAATCGGAGTCATTGGAGGGAAAATACCAGGGGTATCTACTCAACACGGGAGTAGATCAAGAGTGAAGGTGACCAGAGGATTTTTATTACTTTAACCTCAAATTTAGCTACCACACCGACAAGTTCAGAGAACCATAAGCCTTTCTGCAAATATCCATTCCCAGCGCACAGGAGTATCACACTCACCAGGAATATCACACTAGCCAATAAACCCCCTCGTCCTCAGATACTGCAAGCAGAGGACATCAGCCTCAGACAGAAACAGTGTCCACCGAAATCGAAGCGCCGAAAGAAGAGTCAAATGCCCCTGCAAGGCCCTAACTTCAGGCGGGATGTATTGGCTTTGAACTTGCCTCGCCCACTGTAATCCAGTCTGGCCACTATGATGTGCAAAACTTAAGATTCGAGCAGTGAACTAGTGGCCATGAACGACAATTGATGAAATACTTAAGAGTTGGGAATGCCCTTGGTGATTCACATGCCCTCATCCCTGCCAAAAAAACATAAGTCTGACAAAATTGCATTAAAACAGGAGTCAGCATCAGAAGCAAATCAGGTGTCAGCATCCGTTATTGAATCTTTGACGGCCCCCTCATCCCCAATGTCTTAAGGAAAGATTTGCAAGAATGACATCACCCAACCATCCAACAATCTGATTGATCGTATCCAGGAACAACTAAGCTCCCTGTCAGATCATGAAAGTCCGTGCAGATCTATCAGCCACCAACCCCCACCACCCTCTAATTTGACCCTCCTCGTATGGTCAGCAGCATCATCAAGAGCTCCTCCATAAGTTCCAAGGATTAGTAGTTAAACCGCGATGGGGTCACCGGCGGATTTGGTGGCATTGCCTCAAAATAAAAATATTACAATCATTCTATTATTAAATCAATTTACCATTCAATATTTCAACAATATCAATTATCGTACATGGTTGATCCTTCCACAACTTAGTTAAATTATGTAAAAATAAAGTTAATTACACTAAAGATATAAATAATCTATTTTATATTTATGTCTGCCGCGCCTCAGACCTGTCATTCCGCTAATCTCTAATCTCGATTCTCTATGTTTACCAACATTAAAGCTGGGGTCCTCAGGTAATCATATATAAATCAACCAATATTAACTCCCCATCTTCTGGTGGTCATTTTAATAAAGCGGGGTAGTAGAAACAATGTAATTTTATACGCGAGTGCGCAAGGAATTTCGTTAAAATGTGTAGGCAAGATAAGATAAAAAACTTGTAGCGCGATGCGTTAATGTGCACGCTAGATGGAAATGCGGTACTGCTTCCAGACTAGATCGGCGAGCATGCCGATACTGTGACGCCCCCGCCGAGCTGCCATGAATTGACATCGTCAATTAAAGATAAAGCATAAGTGTGGCAGTGAAAGTTGAAAAATAAGTTGCAGAATAAATTGCAGAGTGGTCTGACTGTCAAATGCAATTATCGCCGCCTTCATGATTTTTGATTTAGCCCAAATTGACTTTTCGGTTTAATTCAAATCTAAGTTGTCCCAATTTGTGCCTCACTGTGGAGTAACTTTGATTCCCAGGAACCCTGACCGCGATGGGGCACACTTATCTTTGAAAGTATAAAGAGTTGCGGAGTACTTCCGGTTTTTGTGTCTTTTTTGTAACATGTTCCTCTTTTAAAAGTAACGTTACCTTCCAGGGGAAAATTCAAGACAAGTAATTGTTGGAGTTATATCAAAATCTCAGAAAGTCACCTTTGGGCGCCGATCAAAAGTTATGAACTTTATTATGCACACACCCACCAAAGGATTCTGATACTCTGGTTGGCCTGAATTGTGTCAGTGGTAGCTGCCATAGTAACATTGGAATACGCCAACGCGTGGTAATCATGCTTGTTTGTTGTTATGTTCGCGCCGCGAGCGAGGTCAAGCAGTCGGTTTAAATTAAAACCAACTCTAGTACACCACCAGCGGTAACTTTTCAATGGGTACGAAGTAACCATTTGGGAGGCTATTAAAAAAGTGACGTTAAGTGAGACCGTGAGCACCACTTTTGCCAATTTGCTCTTTGAACTACGGCCCAATCTGAAGTTATTAAACATTCAACGTTGTGTTTTGTTTTTAACGGCCAATATACAGGAATTTAGCCTTGAAAAGTTGTAGGTTTGGAAGATAAATACAGACTGTTTATTCTTTTAAAAGTTTAAGTTAGAACGAGAACGGACCAAAACACCCTATTTGGCCGTCAGGCCAGCCTACATGTACTCATACGTTGTATGACCCGCCGCGCACGAAGTGCGCGGCTCCCCCTGTATCGTCGACTATAGTGAAGCGACAGTGGGGGTCACCACGTGATACAAATTGGAGCTTATATCTATAGTTATAGTGAATGGAAATCTAGCGTCCGCCAAAACGAAACAACGGGCGCAATTCTTGTTGCAATGATGATGTTCATAATATACTAAAGTAGTGGATGTCCTTGCTGTACGGCAAGTTAAACAAGGAACTGAAACTACTAGGTTCCGTACAGACTCAACTCTGCACCCGTGTCAATATGTTCATTATATGCAAGCCTCTTGATTTATATAACCTGTAATAGACTAATACTATTCTGTATATATCTAATTTCGTTTTCCAAAAAAATTTATGGCTTAAAATGCCTATATCTCAAAAAGAATCAGTTTTTTTTGAAATTTTTTTACAGAATCGTAATCAACTATTTATTCATGTAATAAGAAAATCACTTTTTCTTCAGATTGTGTTTTGTTGGATAATTACTCCTCATACTACTTAACAGGTACACGGAGTAATTGTTTATTTATTTTCGAAACGAAATAATAAAGTAATTTAAGGAAAGATGATGTATTAAACAATTCACATTATACAAAACATCATTTTAACATATCTATTTAAATCTTGTTTTTGTCAACTTAGAAATATCACTTTGCTCAGCTTTACCAGAGTTCTTGCTAATTACAAAGAATTAAGCAAGGACAAGGTTTACAAAGCCGGAAGTGAGAGCCGTTATACCAAGGTTACTGAGCGGTACAATTAGAGTTTGTATTAGAATAAAATTAGGGTACGTGTGTGTCTAGAAGAGTACTGTGTCTAGAAGAGAGCGTATATAGCTGCGATGAGGGGCAGGAGTAGAGCTGTCATGCTCACTGCACTGTTCACTTCAGTGCTCGTTTCCGCGCACTTTTTATCGGTCTTTTCTTGTGCAACTGAACAGGGTCCACATCCTGCGTTTGCTGCGGTGAAATCTGCCTCTAACTTTGCCGATGCACCGGGCCTAGAAGTAAAGTTATTGTTAAATTACAAGCTATTACAAGCATTTCAAATTTTACACACAAAAAGTGACCATGCCATGACTTATACCTGTAAACTTGCTCCTTTATAAACTTACTTGTTGCACACGTGTTCTGTCATGCTCGCCTTACTCTTGCAGGTGGTCATCGCAGCATTTGCCACAAACTCGTCAGTTTTCCACTCGTAATTGGCACACTCGAAGGCGTCAGCCGCTACCTTTTCCACGTTACAGCTTGCAGTGGCACATTCTTCACAGTCTGCATCAGCACCGCATTCACCACAACCGTAATCGTACGAAGTAATTCCTGCTGCGTATGTAAATTCCGGCCTGAAATTAAACATTGATAATATCGGCTTCATTGTAACATAATTAAATTACTAAGATTTTAAAGAATTCGATAATTCACTTATTGATAAAGCGCTCTCAAATCATGAATATGATTTCATATTATTTCATTAAGGGCAGATACACCAAAAACGTTTTTGCTCCGAACATCGATTTTATTTTATATTATGGTTAAATAGACAAACAGAATAAAATTGCACACCTTCAAAATTTTCTAAAAATATTCCCTCATCGAGAAAAAAAAATATTTTTCTTTTTCGAAAATTTTTAAAATTTTGAGAAGTCTGTCACTGTAATACCGATAGTTCGGCCATTTTAAAAGTTTTTTGGCTGATTTTTTTACTGAACATTACTTACAATCCGTACAAGAAGCCATTGAAAGGATTATATAATTAAACAATAAATGACGAAGTTACAGACCAAACAAGGTCGAAAAAATAAAAATTGGGATTTTTCCCACTTCTAAAGTTGTACATTTCACCAATCACCCGGGTCAGCAGATATCGCTTCAAAAATTCTTGTGAGTGTAGCTGATGATCATATCAAACTTGTTGGAGTAGGATTTCTCTCAGATTTGAGTTTTAAGCTATGCAATGTGGCCACAAACGACTTTTTTTGAAAATAATTTTTACAGAATCGTAATCAGCTTGGTAAGACGAATCTTTTAGTACCAAATAGGTGCTTTTAGAAGACAAATTGTCTTGAATAATTTTCTAGCTCGAACACAAGGGTCCCCCCTTGTATAAATTTTGTACAAATTGTACACATTTTTTTACAAATTTTGTGTCTTTAAATATTATAAATGTCGTACTAAGATTCGTCTTACCAAGCTGATCACGATTCTGTAAAATTATTTAAAAAAAACTGATACTTTTTGGTGGTGATTGGTGAAATGTACAACTTTAGAAGTGGGAAAAATTTCAATTTTTATTTTTTCGACCTTGTTTGGTCTGTAACTTCGTCATTTATTGTTTAATTATATAATCCTTTCAATGGCTTCTTGTACGGATTGTAAGTAATGTTCAGTAAAAAAATCAGCCAAAAAACTTTTAAAATGGCCGAACTATCGGTATTACAGTGACAGACTTCTCAAAATTTTAAAAATTTTCGAAAAAGAAAAATATTTTTTTTTCTCGATGAGGGAATATTTTTAGAAAATTTTGAAGGTGTGCAATCTTATTCTTTTTAAATCAAGAGGCTTGCATATAATGAACATATTGACACGGGTGCAGAGTTGAGTCTGTACGGAACCTAGTAGTTTCAGATCCTTGTTTAACTTGCCGTACAGCAAGGTCATCCACTACTTTAGCCCGGCGAGGCACATAACTCCCTCTACAACTCCATGACAAATGTTTCATATATACTAGCCGAGTTCACAAGAATATATCCTTGTGTTTGAGAAGAGCTCGTTAGAACTGCTTCCTTTCCCTTCAGTATTTTGTCTATTTAACTATAATATAAAATAAAATCGATGTTCGGAGCAAAAACGTTTTTGGTGTATCTCCCCTTAAATCCTTATTAACACAAAAAGAGAAAAGAGTAGTTTGTCTCAAACTTGCGAATATAATCAGTTTGCATGTTATGTGCATGTTGGCTACGTACCCCTTGCATTTTGTAGCATCAACATCATCTCCCGCACACAACTTATCTTCGACCTTATCACCAACAGTTTGGAAGCACTTGATGGCTGAAAAGTTAACTTGTATGAAGGAGTATTATATTACACCATTTTATATGTTATAGATATTTTGGTAATCTTTTTTTGCTCAGTGAGAGTCTCCACAATATCTATATTTTGGTCAAATATAGATATTTGACCAAAACCCATAATCATGGGTAGAGTGGACCGCTGCCAGTGTCTCTCTTTTCCAAATAAAAGGAAATGATATTAATTTGATTGACCGTTCTCAAATGCAAATTGATATCGAGAATGAAATTGGTCGCTCGCGTTTCCCAGTCAATAATATAAGCTTTATTACAATCCGTAAGCCGTGAATATGCAAATTTCCTAAAAAAACGAAATTTTATGATGAAATCAATATTTTTCAACGGGTCATAAATTTACTTCTGAATATCGAAAATTAAAAAACTGGTCTGTAGACAATCGTTTGAACTTTTTCTTGGTTTCAGAATTTTGTGTTGATCTTAGATCAACACAAAATTCTGAAACCAAGATCAACTTGATCTACTTCACAACCCATAATTTAGGCCGTTATTTAAAGGGTCGATTCCAAACTTGGTAGATTTATGATCTAGTATAGTAAGAAACTATAGCTTTTTAAAAATCTCTGTTTCCCCCCTAACTGATAAAAGAAAATTTACTTGAGCGGACTCATCCCGGAATTCAGGGGATGCAGCTGAAGCTGAAGGCTTAAAGTCAAATATTTTCTCTTTCGTCGGGATTTTAGACTGAATTGAAGTTTAAAGGATTACCTCTCGAATGATCAAGACTGCATAGTAATTGTAACTTAACCCTCAGAAGTCAAGTAATGATTCTAAAAGCTTGGGTAAGCTAAAATTTCACGCAAAATTGTCGACGCGCCAACAATTATGACACCCTGCTGTAGCGACATTGACAACTGACAGTGTCGCTAAATAATATCTTACCATCACAGTTGACGAATGCAAGCATCCCGATGAGGGCGAGGAAAGTGAACAGCTTCATGTTTAGGAACTTAGCTAAAATAGAATGTGTTACATCCAGCAAATATATTTGTACAAAATAGATTTTGAACCATGCCGGCTCGATGAAACAAAACATTTGTCAATGACATGATTGTTATGAGGGTTTTATGGGGTCTGATATATATGAGGTTTTAGAAATTAAAAAATGTTGGTATCAAGGGTAATTTAATCTGCAAACGTAAGTAAAATCAAAAAGGCGAAAATGACACTTGGGTGTACCGGGACGATTATGCAAGCGATTTGCGCGCGAAACTATGACGCGTCACGTTATCGGTCACGCGTCACGTCACGTTTAGCCAGGACTAAATACTTCATCACGTAACGCATCATGTACAGTCTACAGATACTATGGAGCAGCTCCTGAAGAATCATCCAGTACTAATACCAATAGAGGAGAATGGTTTGCCTTTTGGACCGATCGAAGAAGTAGAAGAATCGTTGTTTTATAATTTATTAAATATAGATGAGATAATGGTATTTAGGACGGCGAAAATGGGTCTGCTGGTTCATCACAAACCGATGCTGAATTTTGTAGATTCGTATTGACGCATAGGAATTAAGGAAGAAGGAAAGAAACTAAAATAGGAAATAGCTAAGTTTGCAAGGTTGATCTCTTCAAAACCGTATAAACTGATATGTTCGACTCCTACAAGTACAGTAAACTCATTCCGCTTAACAAGTGCCAAGGGGTGAGCTGAGGCCAACAGGGATACGGGGAACTTTTAGATGAATAGTGGACACTGGACATTGGACAATTGCTTGAGTTGGGAATTGAAACTTTTGACGCATAAGAATTTCAAAGACGAAGGAAAGAAGCTGAAAAAATGAGATTGCTAAGTTTGCAAGGTTGATCGCATCAAAACGGTATACAGCAGGGTGTCAGAATTATTGGCGTGTTTGAAATTTTATGTGTATTTTATGATGAAATCAATATTTTTCGACGGGTCATAACTTTACTTCTGAATATCGAAATTACAAAATTCAAAAACTGGTCTGTAAACAATCGTCTGAACTTTTTCTTAAATTCAGAATTTTGTGTTGATGTACCTCAAAACCCATAATTTAGGCCGTTATTTAAAGGGTCGATTCCATACTTGGTTAGATTTACGAAGGAGTAAGGGATTTATGTGTAATTTTTTTTTGGTGAATTTTTTCTGAAATTATTCTTTAGACTAAAGTGCACAGCTCTTCAGGCGATAGCGAAACATATAGAAAACTATAGATTTTATGAAAGCTCTCTTTCTCCTCTAACTGACGCAATAAAATATAGTCAGGCGGACTCATCCCGGAATTCAGGGGAAGCAGCCGAAGGCTTCAAGTCCAATAATCCAAATTTTTCTCTTTCGTCGTAATTATCGACGAAATTTAACTTCTTTCGGACTTTGTTTTTAGACTGAACTGTAGTATGAAGGATTATCTCTCGAATGATTAAGACTCCATAGAAAACTGACCCTCAGAAGTCAAGTAATGATCGTTTCTAAAAGCTTGGGTAAGCTAAAATTTTAAGCAAAATTGTCTGCGCCCCAATAATTATGACACCCTGCTCTAATCCTGATCTGTTGGACTCTTACGTTAACAATAGACTCATACCGCTTAAAGTTAACAAGTGCCCAGGGGTGAGGCCAATAGGAATTGGGGAAACCTTTAGACAAATAGTGGGAAAATGTTTGAGTTGGGAATTGAAAACAGCCATCCAACTTGCTGCTGGACCACTGCAGGTTTGTACAAGACTAAAAATTAAATCGGAAACTGCAGTGCACAGTGCTCTACATGCAAAATCTACGGAAACGGTGATTTAAATTTTTAGTTGATGCCAGTGCAAGTGACGCTTTCAATTCCGTTAACAGATAGGCTCTTTACACAACGTGAGAGTCGGTCCCACTAAATCCCGCCCTCCCAAATTTTTCAAAAATTCTTTTGAAATTAAAGGCACTGAGAGCATGAAAGTAATCGTTTCGGTGTATTTTGGACGCTGATTCCGAATCACTACCCATGACATAGGGTAAAAATGCTTCCCTGGAGAGTTATGGACAAACACTGTTTTGGTCACGTGACAAGCTAGTAAAACACAGAGTTGAAAAATACGTGAGATAATTTTTTAAATACGCCGTATTTAACGTTTTTTTGCTAAGAAATAAAATACGTCAAAAATACGTTAAATACGTTTGCCTATTTTTTTCGTAATTGCATTCAAAAACTTAATAAGTTATGTCTTTCGTTCGCAATTTTTTCAGACACATCGTCATTACGGTTCAATTTCATTTATTTTGTTCCCTTGAACGGGATTGGAATTTACTTTTGGAATTGAACGCAGAAAAATATTCATATTTGTGTAGAAAATCGTCCGTAAAAAAGTTTCAATAAATACACAATTAAGAACACAATTACTCAGATGAATCGTAATCATCATTAAAATCACATTTCTCCATGTTTTGGATAAGTCGAAGGTTGGCATTAATGCCTACTAGCTTTATGGCCTTATCCTTTGCTAGTCTATTTCTGCGTTTATCAACAATATATTCCCAAGAGGACCAGTTAGTTTCACAGGCAGAAGCACTACAGACGAGGCTCAGAGTTTTCTTCGCCATTATTTGAAGCTCTGGCGTTGCTGCACCGAACGAATCCCACCACGTACAAGGATCTAGCTTTGTAGCTCCGTCAATGGCAGATTGCCGGCCAAAAAGACCTTCTCTCCTTCTATAGCGTGCTAGCTGCCGTAGAATCTCCATTTCCTGAAAACCCCATACTGTGCACATGTTCAGGAAGTCACCCATGACATCTTCGTTTGACGTCTGTTCGTACAGATGAAACTGTGGGTTCAAAACGAACCCCGCACTGTGCAGGGGTATGTGCAACTCAGACCATGCATTCGAGAAGAAGCTCATCAGATCTTGTTTGTGGCTTGGTCTAAGAGTTGAACTAAACTTCTCTTGCAACTGAAATAGCAAATAGTACAGTTCTCCCATTATGGCGCAGGTCCTCTTTCCATCGGTTAAACGCAGCACCTCGATGAGAGGCTCAAGAATATTATTGAGGTATTCTAAATCGTCCCAGAATCTAGTAGAGTCAATATTCTTTTTAACCTCTGCATAAGTAGATGCGTGTTTCTTCCCGTTTCCTCCTAATCCTATCCACTGTTTCAGTATCCTGTTTCCAAGTAAGTCTTCGAGGTGTTCTTTTACAGCTACGACCCTATCAGTCATGATAAAGTTAGTAGCGAAGCGAGTTTTCACCCAGGACAAAATCGTGGTTATTCACGAATTGCACGATACTCGTGCACTTTTTGAATAAGTTAGAGAAGAATGGAATTTTCTCGAAATCTTCGACGAAAAGATCAAGCACATGGGTAGCACGTGCACAGTTCCCTTAAATCATACGCGAGGTGATAAACTACAGAGCTACGCGAGTTTTAATCAAACTTTTAACTTGTATAATTAGAAATAGTACTTATTATTTCATTGGAGCTCTTAATGCTACAAAATCACTTGTAACGTATTTTAACGAATTTTATTCAGCGAAAATAAAATACGCCGTATTTAACGTTTTTTTGATATTTTATAAAATACGTTAAATACGTATTTTTCAACTCTGGTAAAACACGAATTCGATTGTTTAGGGCTTGGATTGGGGTTAGGGTTGTGGTTTATACGGTTATGGAAAGCTTTGGGGTTATGGTTATACTTAGGGTTCCGGTTAGGGTTGGGATTAGAGCTTATGTAAAACCGTTTTGTTCGGGCTCGGCTGCAAAACCATAAAAACCAAAGTTACGTTATAATTTTTGGGCGAGCGAATTAGTAAAAGCCCGCGAAAGTACTATGCCCGGAGTTAAGCATGATTGCAATCAATATTTATTGGAAACTGGTACAACTCACGGTGAAGTCTAGCAATGTGGCTCTTTGTCTTGGTTATAACAACTCTACCAATACTATAGAAATTAGAGGATCATGAAAAAGTGGCACAAGTATGGCTTATAGCAGATAATGCCACAGGGGTGGGTACTCTTCATCTACTTTTAGGATGGTGGAACTGGAAGGACCTTAAGTATGGCTACTTCGTGAACCAAGAAAAGTCTTGCTTAGCCTTAATCTTAAAAAATCCTGAACATTTACATTCAGCTCAGGAAATCTTTGCCGACTGCAATATAGATATCAGGATAGACGGTCAAATGCAATTGTGCCGGGGAGTGGGGAACGGAGTTATGGAAATGGCACAGTTAAAGTATTTTGCAAAAAGAGAACAAGCTGCATCCCTTTCGGTTACGTGGACAGTGGCGTAACGTTGCCTGTTTGCGCCCCCTCGCCGAAAATGCGCACCCCTGTTGGCACCCCTTCCCCTTTTTTCCCCCTCCCTAAAATTGAACAAATTAGGTGATTTCAGAGGACACACCGGTAAAATCTCCAAAAAAAGTGTGTTTCTTGAGCAAAACGCGAAGTTTTGCTAGTATACCTCAGTTAAGTTTTTCAAAATTGTCCCAACGACGATTTTGCGCCCCCTAAGATGCCCCCCCCCCCCCCCTCGCACAGCGGGGTCAGCGGGACCCTTCGTTACACCACTGTACGTGGAGACCGGTAAATGCCATGAAAGGTTAACCTCTCGCCACAACCTACAAAGAATCAACAAATGCGCTTCAAGTTCAAATAATACTAAAACACCGTGTTTCTGATTAGGGGTCGTTCACATATTACGTAATCAGCTGAGGGGGGGGGGGGGGGGGGGTTTCCGAATGATTACGCTAGTGTAATTTTGACACAATAGCTATGTGTAAAACTGATTACGGAGGGGGGGGGGGGGGGTAAAAATGATTACGTAATATGTGAACGACCCCTTATCAAGAACAACAACAGCACATTTTAGAAAAGGTTAATAAAAAGACTGCAAGGGTTTTAATGCAGTTTGTCGGTAAAATATTTGCTTAAAATCCGCACATGAACAATAAACAATTTTGCGCGAGGAAACATCTTGCTTTAAAATTATTTTGTTTCTCCTTTATAAATATATTTAAAAGTTTCGCTAAAAGAGTTTCGTCGATACAAAAATGCGTGCGTTTCTGCGCGTCAACAAGGTTTCGATTCTTTTAAAAGAGTTTCGATTCTCTTATAAGAGTTTCGATTCTATTTTAAAAAATGCGCGCGACAAATTGCTGCGAGTCAAAACAGTTTCGATTCTTCTAAAAGAGTTTCGATATTAAAAACGCGCACTGCACGACAAGTTGTTGCGAGTCCAAACAGTTTCGATTCTCTAAATCGTTTCAATTCTATAATTCGAATGCAAGACAATTTAGCTATCATTTAAAAAACTACGCATCTGCACGGTAATGTTTTAAAATATTTGGTTTATGAAGAAGCTCTTATCTATTTTTAATTAGGAAATTGATTTTATTGTTCAGAAGAGGATCAAGAAAGACCTCTAGATAGACCGTCAGTATTATAGTAATAGTATCAAATATCAAATAAAACTAACGAATTATCTACTATGGGTGATTCAGAATCTATCTCTTTCGAATGGAAAGTTAATCAATATTCTCAGCCTGAGCCAGTCACCTGAGCCAGTCGCTAAAGAGGCTTTAGATCAAGACATGGAAGGATATGAAGCTATGGAAGCACAGTTTCATTTCGGATTCAAAGAGGACTCCTCTAATGAAAGCTTGCCTTGATTTTTAATTGATTAATATATAAATAGGTTTGAACATGGTTATATTTTATTTCTGTATTTATCTTAAGGGAAGCTAGTTTATAGTTTGTTCATCATCAGATCTATTTTACGGTTATTGTATATGAGTATACCCGTGTTTTCTATTATTTACTAGATAGAGGTAAAACAACTAGATAATAAGGATAAAATGCGCTCCTATAAAATGAGTAAAATAGTAATACAAAGTATAATAGTAATATAATTATAAATTATAAGTAAAGGCATCAATCGTCTGCAGGACGGCTCTCATAAATGATGAGGCAATTTCGTCTGGACTCCTTTTTCTGCTATCCCTCGAGATAGTAGAACTGCTTCGCCGTCAGGTTGACTCCCTCCAGATTGCTTGCAAAGACCACATGGCAGAACAGCTGCCCATCCTGTTTGAAGTATAGTCGCGTTCTCAGCTTTGACTGTGCGATCCTCGCCAACTCCCAACACCCGATGAGGTGGTTAGCCTCCTCCTCACTGCACGAGCATACTTTAGTCATGGCAGTATATTTGAAGCATGTGCTGCATGCCTCAAATGCGTACTCCCGGGAATTTATGAGTTTCTTGTAATGTCGCGAGAAGTGTTCCACCTGAAGAAATGTCTGGTTAAAGATGTTATAAGTTTATCTAGTGTGAACAGCAATCATTATATATAATAAAATAGGTAATATCTAAGATTATCGTGAATAATAATGTAAATAATTAGTTAACGGCTAAATTTACCTTGACGTCTAACTGCATGTCCTCCTTGATTGTCGTGTAGAGAGGATGAGAGGAGAAGAGGTTGAAGCGGAAAGTCCTCAGCCAGTAGCCAACCTCTTGTTTCACCTTGATTGTCTTGTAAAGACCCATCGTTCCATCCCGAACTACAATACGTAGGACTCTCACCAGACAACATTCATAGTTTTCTGAGCCATCATCAGGAGCAATTTCTTCGGCAGAGTGGTTACTCATCATGGGTGCTGTCGAGTCATTCGGAATAGTTCTCTTCTTGGTGTCGGATAGAGGGGTAGGTTTAATCCGATTCATTGCTGTAGGTACTGTTGAGACAAAGGTACGAAGAGCGCATTGTTCCACGGCAGAGAATTGAGGAGCATTTGTGATAGACATGATTGAACGAATAAAGTAACTGAACGTGAAGATGGTTCTAGAGAATAATATTATATAAATATAAGTTCTCGTAAACAGATGCGAACAAAAATGAAATAATATAAGTTCCTGTAAACAGATGCGAACAAAAGTGAAATAATATAAGTTCCTGTGAACAGATGCGAACAAAAGTGAAGTTCCCTAAGAATAATTTAAACCATATCAATATCGCAATGCATCTCATAGTCATACTGGTTAAGGTGATGCCCCAAAGCTCTTGTGCTAACTAAATCAGATAGGATATATCTCTTGTTGTCAATGGCAGAAAGTGCACATTTATTCTGTTGAACAGTATAAATCGTGTGATTGTAACTTCTAAGGGTGGTCTGGTTTACATGAACCTCTTCACCTCCAAACAAAACATCCTTATAACTCTCATGTCTCAAATCACGCTTAGCTACTTTACGTTTAACACCCGCTGCTGCCATCTTACCATCAGCTTCATGAATCTTACAACTATATAATTTACTTCGTAATCCTACAAACTCTGAGCCATACTTGCCCGCAAATTCATCCTTCATTAAACCTGGTACTGCCTTGTTAGTTAAACTGAACAAATAATGTTCCTTGGGATAATTGCTTGAGTCAAAGTGACGTCCCATATCCTTGAAATCTTTATGCAAATCTGGAGTTTCAACCCAATAAAGTAAACTATCTGTATCCGTAAAACATAATTTAATGTCACTATATTTAACCTTGAGAACATCATACCAGAATCTATACATTAACAACTTTGACATATCCAGAATAGCAGCCCCTAAGTAAATCGGCTTATCTAAAGTTATCGTGGGTTTTACCATTTCCAGTCCAACTAACTCTGGTGAAAATATCGTGAACCTCTTGAATCCAGGTTTGCTAGTCTGGAACTGATGCTGCTTTCCGTTCTGTACCAATCTAATGTTGACCCTCTTCCTAACAGATTCCATACTCTTGCCGAAGAACGAGTTGTTGAGTAGTTTGTAGAAGTCTTTTCCGAACTGTGAAGTAGCAGCCTGTCGTTTAGCGGTGTTAAAATCAATATATTTCTTTAACCAATCCGTCTGTTCAAACTCTAGTACCCTATGAATCTTATCGCAGACACCACCAATAGATAAATAATACTGCAAAGCGGCAATGTGAATCTTATGCTTTAACTTTGGAAACAAATTAGGTGCAAGCTTCTTTTGAGGAGCAGCAAAGTTAACCCCTCTTCTATTCATTGCTATTTGCTTTACGAGTAGCATCCGATACCATACCGTCCTCTATCATCAGAGATTCAGGGAAAGGAGGGAGATCATTGAATCTGTCATGGTCTTCAGGATTCGTATGAACGTCACACTCGATGAAGTATCCCTTATCGCTGTCGGGGTTCCAGGCCATGATGTCGCTGACCGTG